TACCAGTTCACGCACAGCGCCTGCGACATGAAACACAGACGCCTCCACGGGCGACGAAGATTTAGACTAGGTTATAAAAGTGCCGTCCACTTTTGTATAGTTCAAATATGTCAAAAATGTAATGAATTTGATCCGATTTTAATAAAAATCATCCGATTTACATGAAAATCGTTGACTTGTGTAAAATGTAATGAATTTACGCGGTTGGATGACCGGCTCCTCGCATCACCTTATCTGTTTAAGGGTCCGAGATGCCCTAACAAGTACCCCCTCCGTTTCTAAATATAAGTGTTTTTAAAGATTTTTTAATATAAACTACATATATGTATGTAGACATATTTTAGAGTGTAGATTCACTTTTCTTGCTCCGAATGTATTCCATATTGGAATCTAAAAACTTGTATTTTGGAACGTAGGGAGTAGCGACAAACTCGTGAGCTTGTTGATTTGTCGTGCTGGCTGACGGGTGCGCGCGCGCATAATGAGGCCAACTCCACCGCGCGACCCTATCCTGTCCGCCCCCGTCCGTTTGGGGTAAAAGGGACAAACGAGACGGCCCAGCGCGCGGGCGCAAACGAACTTTGTGTCCGCTTTGTATCCGCTTTCGACCCATCCCGTCGGTTTTGGGGTGAAACGGACAGCGCGCGGACGGGCGGGACGCGCGCGCTTGTCCTCCCCTGGCCCGCCTGTCGGTGGGAGAAACCAACCCCTCCCACGCCCATTTGGCGCCATTTGCCCCAAACCCTCCCACGTCCCTCCCGCCGCCCCCTCTCCCCCCCTTCCATGGCCGACGCCCGGCCGAGTTCCGGCGGCCTGGCCGTTGACCCGCCCGCAAAGGTGAAGAAGAAGGCGCCAAGGAAGCCGCGGTCGGAGTGCACGCCGGAGGAGATCGCCAAGTTGGACGCGGAATCGACAAAGAGGAGGGAACGGAGAGCGGTCGTCAAGCTCAATGCCGCCGCAACCAAGAGAGCCGCCATGCGCGAGGAGCTGGAGGCCGCGCGGCGCAAGGCCGCTGCCGACGAGAAGGAGGACCTCGTCAACAAAGCGCACGCCATCCTCATGCTTGGCATGGGCCGTCCTGTCGGGTTCCCTTCAGCGGCCGTCGGCCCGGCGAGCACCGGCTCATCGGTCGCCCGGCCTACGCACTACCAGTCGCCGACGTCGCGCACCACGCCCATGTCGCCCGGCTTCCCTCCGCCAAGGCACGTCAGCCAGACCCGTTTCTCGGGGTCGC